TCTCTCTCTCTCTCTCTCTCTCTCTCTCTCTCTCTCTCCCCTTTCTCTTCCTTTTGCCTCCATCCCTCTTTTTCCTCCTCCCCTATATCTCTCTTTTCTGCTACATTTTTGTGCCTTCTTCATTCTCTGTCTACTTTTAATAAACCTCATTCCACACTGTTGGTTTTAAACCACCCCATTTTGACCTAGTCCCCAAGTCTTGTGGATGGATGAAGTCACTCTTGACCACCTACAGAGCACAGTACCCCCACTCACTCTCTCTTCACACTTTCCTCCCTCACTTTTATTTTTCTCTGTAGTCTCTCCCTTTCTTGCTTTATTCTATTCCATAACACATTTCATCTGATGCACTACATATTTTACTAATTTTGTTTAATGTCTGACTCCATCTAGTAGAATATAAGCTTCATGAGGACAAGAAATTTTTACACATTTTCTCTATCTGCAGAGCCTGGGATAGTGTCAGATAGAGCATTCAATAATATTTGTTGAATAAATTAATGAATACACATAACAACTCACACAAAAACCTCCACAAAGGGAAGTTAGTGCCAATTTCCAGAAAAGTGGAGCTCAGAACATACATAATAATAGATGCATGTCATAAATATAGTTTGCTATATGTGGCTTCAAATGCCTTTACCTCATTTTGAATATGTGGAGTTTAGGAAAGAGAATAAGATTGCCCAATACCAGTTACTAAGACTCTAGCTTTTTAGAGAAATTGCCTTACTACCCTCAACTATGCATGTGGCATCAAAGATTGTTCATGACTAAGACTCAGAAATCAACAAGACCAGTCTGTCACTGGCTCCCCATGGCTGCATCCCTGTAGTGCTGCCCCAATCCCTGACACATAGACCTGGAAAGGCTTTTCTTCACAGAGTTTCCTTCAAATGTTCATCTGTGCAACTTCTTATATATGTTAGAATCATAGACAGCAGGGCACGATGGGAACTTTGAAACCATGTAATCTGAGTCTTCAGTTTCAAAACTGAGACAACCAAGAAGACAAAACTGTGGCTGCTCAAATCTATAGTAAAGGCACGAGAAAGGCACTGTTTTCATAAAGTTCAGAGAAAAGATAGACTTCTGTGTTCCTTCCATCTGTTTATAATTTGCATTGTGAAATTTGAGAACACTGAAAACCCCTTTAAAATTTTGTTCCTGTCTGTGCCATTGAAGCTATCCTAATAGGAAAGAAAACAGTAATGTAATTAAAGAAATCTGGTTGGTTACACAAGGTATTCTGCTGTGAGTTGAGGGGACTGAGGTAAACATATAGCAAAACCTTTAGACATACTTTCTAAGGTATAAATTTGTGTGAGGTTTTAATTTTGACTGTGCATTCCTTTTGCAATTAGGAAAATAACAATAAATAAAACTTAAAGTTAAGAATGTTTTTCTTTTAAAAAGAAAGAAGGATAAATCATAAAAGACTAATGTTAGAAGTCATCACAAACATTTGGGATTAAGGTCAGAAAAAGAAAAACAAATCATCTGGGAATGGGAATGGGAAGAAATCCCAGAGATTTTATAAAGAAAACAAATGGAACTTTTTTAAAAGATCAGAAAGAGATAGTGGTTCTGTGAACGGCCAATAAGATAGAGATGATGGCTGACAAAGGCTAAGCCTTGTTCTTGTTTTCCTGTCTTCTCTAGTAAGAATGATTATGGGATGGATATGGCAAGAGCAAAAAAGAGAACATGCCCCTGAGGGTGAAAATCCTGGAAGCAAATCTCCCTGCTCCAACTGAGGTTAGAACTCCCAGTCCAGAGAATTCTATTCTGGGGATGGAGGTGTACGATAACTTGCAAAACAAACAGCTAAAAGGAACAGACTTTTATGAATACATGCTGTGTGCTGACCCTTATCTTTTCCTAATGTATCTATAGTAATTCTCAAGTTTGGCTCAGTAAAATAATGGGGTGGCAGAACTTCATGGCAAGGTAGGTACTGCATGACTTTTCCCGGGGAGATGTGAACAAACTTCAATTCATTCCAGACAGAACACCAACAACAGACCCTAAAACAAATTCTACCCAAGTCCAGCTTAGTGAACCAGTGAGCTCATTACTCTTACTTACAGGAGTATGGGTACTCCAAAGGCAGCTGCATCACTAGAAAGCCCTCCCCAGCGTGGGTGACAGCTCATGATGCTATACCCTGGATTTTACTGCACAACTTCCAGGAAGCTGAGATTCAGGGAGAGTCCCCTTTCCCTAGTAATTGTTACAGCTCATGTAACCTTGGGGAGAACCTTAGAGATCTTATAAGTTTTAGGAACTCCCTGATCCTTGTAAGTTTCAGTCACTTCCTGGGTCCTATGAGCCTCCTTTCTCCCTGTAGAAGGAAATGATTAAACTCAGAGGAAATCGCTACATAGTACTAGGTTTTATTATTATTTTTATTATTATTGTTATTATTATTATTAATTCACATTCCTATTTTACAGGGGAGGAAACTGAAACCAAGGAGGGCAATTTGGCCAAAAGTAAATGATTAA